GCCTCTGAAATGCATGTATTCGGGTTTTGCAAAATTGGTTGAATTTTACGTGCTTTATGCTTAAATAAAAAAAAATACTTTACTGTGGAGAACCAATAATAATTTCAGTGACAAGTAGTCCTATGGAGTTCCTCATTCTCTTTTCGTTTTTTACTTCCCTGTTACATCCCACCCAGAAACATCCATCAGTTCCAACATGATCTTAACAACTGTTAATTTTCTGTATTTTCAAATATTTGGATGTTGGTATTTGTTTGTGCCAGAATGGAAGAATCAGCATGAGTGGAATTTGACTGAAGTGCGGGTGTGAAAACTGCTGGTGTGACATATTATCACATGCTGCCCTGTTTGTTGACATAACTGTTAAAACTGGGCCTGAACTAAAAGAGGCAAAAAAGAAGACAAGCATAATGCAATGTGATTAAGCATGTAATTTTGTAGCTTTCCTGTCAGGTATACACATATAGTGTATATGTGCTGTATATTGTTCCGAAATGTGGTTTCTAGCTCTCCAGATGCTTTTTACCTACATGCCATGATTTTTGAAACATGAAGCCAGGATCAAATGGTTTTCTTGCTGATCATGAAAGTCCCAAGCCAACCTGCTGTCAGATTTTTTTAAAATCTCATGATACTCTGCCCCTTGCTGTTATGGTCTTCTGATACTTACTGCTGTACAGAGAAGTCTTTATGCTTTGGTGTATTTGTCTGACACTTTAAAAACACTGCCTTACTATGTGCAAGTGTATGTTTGGGTTTTTTTAAAAAAAAAGGTGAAATGTTGGAAAATAATGTTCTAAGTTTTGTTCACTTACAGATGTTTTCCTCAATACATTAGCAACTTCTTGTCTAACATTTGCTTTAAAATAAGCTTTTAGCTTGACTTGATAGTTTGTTGAAGTGAAATGTGTATTTTTCTACTTAGAAAGAAATAAAAGCTCTTTGCTGTGACCCACCGTAGTTAAAGAATGTGTTGTGACCTGGTTTCACATGATAGCAATTCTTATTATGACATGAAGAAGGCTTCTTTAATTCTCCAAAGGAATAGCAAATGCCCACTGGTACATTCCCGCTAAAATTAATTTTGTAAGGTTTAAATAAGTGGCAAAAAGAACAAAATTGCCTTGAAACTACAGACGTGATAAATCTGGATCTATCATGGACAATTGATTGTTGAATCCAGGGTTTTTTTTCTCAGTTGATCAAAGCTTTAATCTCCAGTAAGACCTAAGTAGATTTGCAGGAGTATTATTTCTACAATTTCTTTCCCAAGGCATTTTTTACTAATGTAAGTGTCATATGGAACAGAAGTAACTGAAATTGCTTGTTTTACTTACTGTTTTAAGCTTATCAGCTACAGGTTATAATTCCTGAAAGGATCTTTTTCTGCTGTTATTTCTAGTATAAAATCATGTATGGGAGTAGTGCCGCTCCTGGGTTAAGTTGTTTAGAAAAATCTACCTGAAAGTCTGCAGTTGGAAATCATGTGCCGGGGGTGGGGGGGATTAATCATAAGGTCCATTTCCTCTCACGGTAAAAGAAGGGGTGGGGTGGCACTTTCTTCACTGTTGGTGCAGAAACTCGTGCTCCCCTAAAATGATCTTTAGAAGAATGCAGAGAATCAAGCCTGCCACACAGTTACATTTCCCATTGCAAATTCCCTTCGGAGAAACACTGGCAGTGATTGTGAAGGACCCTGTTTGGAAGGTTGTAGGGACAGTGAGCATATAAAGGAATTTCAGCTACAATTTCAAGGATGAATGTTTTGCCCTTCAGAAGCTACTAGATTTACCCTTATGCAACCAAATAGCAAATGTGGGTGTAGAGGAGTGTGTTTTCCATGACCGTGTTAGCATTATAAGGTAAAGCTTAAATGTTTTTTTGTGTAGTCTTTGCAATGGGAATGGAGCCACAGAAGTACAGATTGTTTTCTTATTACCACAGCTCACTTGCTGTGGACAAGATAAAGATGTCCTTCCGTGTTTAATGGGGGGGGCAGGGCGGAGCAGGGATACTTCTCAGTTCCTTGCAGTGTGATGTCATTCCAGAGTTGTAGAAGCACAAGCGGGAGCAGCACACTGTCAGTCTGGACTCACAAACTTTAGTGAGTGCTAAGAGCTGTGTAACACCAATGAAAATGTTCCGCATTACGTCCTCGTTATGTGATGTGGGATGTGTCATCACTTGCATCACCCAGCCAACTAAAGTAACCAAAACAAATGGGAGCTGTATGTGATGTTATATTTCACCTTAGAATAAAAACTCATTCTCAAAGGGAGTCTTACCATGGACTTCTGATTAATTTGACATTGCACAATGAAACAATTCAGCCATATCTTGAGAAGTAAGATTTTTATTTAACTAAGCAGTACTACCTTGTGAGATATTTTCTTACAGCTGTCTTTCAGGACTTATATCTGGAAACAGAAAAGCTGAAAACAGGTCGCTGAAGTATTCATCTGATGAATATTCAGCTCCTTCAGTGATAATGCTTGCAATAGACTTTGGGAATATATGCAAATACTGTGTTTCAGGTTTAGTACAGGTTAAACTTTTTCAAGGTCTGCTTGGTTAAATTTGAACTGATAGTACAGGAATGGTGAAAGCTATATCCTTCACAAACAGACTGCTTCTGAATGTCCAGTGCAATAAGCTTGAGGGATGCTGCAGCCTCTTTTGAAAAGGTTTTCTAAAAAAAGTGTGAAAGAAAGCATTGAATTTTTCAAGTAATTTACCCTGCTTAGAAAATTTGACCGAAAAGCTAGGAGCTGATACAGTTACAAGCATTTGAAAGTAGTGAATTATTCTACAGAGTATGAACCAACTTGAAAAACAGACACTATGCTTTCCCTCCTTGTAATCTTAAATCGGCAACTTCAAATTGTTTCCTTTCAAAGCACATCATTTGTACAATCTGAGCTTTCTTGGATGTATTGTGTGGTAATGTGTAGTTAACTTCATCCTGCAGCTTTAAATTGGGGAAGACTCACTTTTTAGATGTCTAATGTATAAGATTTAATTTAAAGGCTGAGCGCAAGCTAATTTTACTTAGGGGTTTCTGCAAAGTACACCTTTCATTGACTGCACTGAGTAAACGAACACTGGTTTTGTAGCAGGCAAGAGATTCTTGTGGTAAAATAATCTCTCTTCCGAGGAGAGGAAACCTGTTGGTTGAATGGACTAAAGCTGTCAGAAGTGTTCATTAAAGGAATGTTTTGGAGGGCATTTTCAGCTTTTAAATTTACCTGAACTGCTCTTCTATCCAGCTACCATAGAAAAAAGGAACAGACTATAGACAGTCTGAATTTTAAGCATTTGCAATTAAAAAGCATTTTACAGAACACTCAATCAATGAGCTCTGTATGATATTTGTAACAAACAAATATTCCTTATATGAAGAACAACTTCAGAATTGTAATCTTAAACATTTGTATCAGTTAAAATTCTTGCAATCTGGAAATGGAATATGCTGGAACTGATCCCCCATCTACCTACCCACTCCTGCCAACCCCAATTGGATTTTGTGGAAACTTGTGGGCTTTGATCTCTGACCAAAGATTTAACTACAACCCTTCCAGCTATCTGTTTTCAACGAATCTTTATCTACTCCAGAGAACTGTTTTGAAAGCAGAATGCTATTTTTCTCTCCTCTGAATTACAAATGAGGTTTTGCACAGCAATTGATGTTCAGTAATTTAACGTAACAATAATATTAGATTATTCTTTTAGCTATTAGGGTTTCTTACGTTAAATAGGGGCAAAGTTCCTTAAGATCCTTAAGGCTCATATGAGGTGCCAAACAAATACATTGGTTACAGTTCAGAACAGCATATTTAGTTTTTGTGTAATACCGAATTAAATTAGGTAAGCTGTGTGGCTAAGTACACTTATTAAATGATTTTATATACTAGGAAGAAAGCTTTAGTTTCAGAGACTCTGGTACTTAAAGCAAACATTTTGTTTTTTCTAATTTTGGAATTATCTTGTTTTGATGCAGTATGTTGTATGGCTTTTGTTAAAGGTCAGAAAAGTATTTTCTAATTAACTTCTTAAATTACATATTAATTGCAGTGGAAATCTGATATTGAGAAGGTAGAAAACTTAATATAGACTGTATCAAAGGTTGTATACATGTAGGGGAAGGGAAACATGTATGTCATAAGAGCAGTTAAAGTTTGGGGTGGCAGGGAGAATACACTTGGTGCTGACTTCTGAACTTAGCTTTCTGCTGACATAGTAAAACAGTGTTGGAGGAAACCTTCTAATATTCAGAGACTTAGACCTTCTCTAAATTTATACGTGTGAACACTTGTTCAGTCCTCATCACTCCGAACTGGAGCAGGGTAGGGGTCTCCAAGTGTCAAGTTATGATTTTAGTATCAGGACTCATAGTTTTGCCATTTAAGTTCAAAGTATCAAGAAATATTTTTTTATTTAATTAGGATGTTCGAATATGGAGATTGAAACTAAAAAAAGTACTGAGCATTTCATCAATAATTTCATACAGTTATTTTTCTTTTCTTATGTTAGGAACATTTTGCCTAAAGTGTTTTACACAAGGTAAGATATGCAGATCTTAAGGAATTATCTACACCATGAAGAAATTTTATGTTTAATTTGCCACTTCATTTTGAAATAATTATTTGTTGCAAAAATATCTCTCTGCTGGCAAAGCTAGAATGTCTTCAATTTTTGGAAGCTTCTTGGAGTAAATCTTAAACAGTAATGTGAAGTCAGATTTTCATTGAAAGTAATACCAACATTTTTAAATAAATTGTTAAATAACTAATCAATTTTCACATTAAAGCAAGACAATGTCATTTCACATATTTACATTTAAGAGTTGAGCTAACCTGAAAAAGCATAAGCTTTTTAAATGAAAATGCTTATGCCTTGTCATATATCTGGAATTTTTTACCAGCTTTAATGACTGTTTACATAAAGTATGTTGAACTTGAACAAAGATAAATATGCTTTGCAAGCACAAACATCTGCTTTTGTGAATGTGTGTTTAAAAAAACACTGTCACAGTAGAAAAGGTTTCTAAAAAAAGGAGAGGGGAACACAACAGGGCGGAAAAAAAAGACAGGAAAACTGTAGACCTGCTTTTTGCAGGGGCAGATTGTGCAAAATAATGGTTAAGAAGTAATATTTTATTTCTCTGGAACTCAGGCACTGAGAAGTTTATTATGTGATCACTTGAGCACTGTGTGATTTTTCTTCCTCAGTCTATAGGTCGGATCATCATTTGAACTGCTTTCAAGGAGTAGGAACCTCCCCGGTACTCAGCCCAAAATATTCCATCCTGATACTTGCTCCTGTAGTGGCCTCCTCTGTACCACACCCCATTAAGGTTAGAGTGGGCACATGCGTTGTACCACCAGCCACCTTTGTGAAAATGTGCACAGTTTCCTGTGGAACAGAAAGAAATGGGTGAACTTCAACAGCAAAGAGCAGAAGTGGAGATCAGCAAACACTTTCATATTCTGGCTTATTCTTGGAAGGAACTTTTGAAGTACATCGTAGCCTGTTGTGGTCATATCAATTGCTGGTTCTGCCTAAATTATAAATTCTGTTCTAACTGCAACCATTGCCTGGAGGGGGGATTATTGGCATGGTATTTAATACAACAGCTGAAAACTGAGGAGGTCAGTTCTTCTCAGGCTACCAGCCGTGCTTGTTCATGAGCTAACATTCAAGGAACTCAGATTATGTACTGTTTAGAAATACGTCAGTGGAAGCAGTGTGAGTTGATGCAGTCCCAAGCAGCACGTGGGGCCATGGTTCCACAAAGAGTTACTTGTAACTTGTGTGTTTACTGTTAAAGGCTTGTTTAAAAGTTTGCCAGATTTGTCCAGCTTTTTATGGTTATTGACAGCTGAGAAAAAGCAGTTGAAGTATTACACTCCCCAACCTTTCTTTTACTGCTAAGGCTTTAAGGGCAAAGCTGGAGGAAGAGTGTGGAAATAAACAAAAAAGTGTCCTTTAAGGAGAATGAAACAAAATGATCTGCCTATTTCTCAAGTAGTGGTCCATAATGAAGCCTATGCCAAGCTGCAATTCCTTTCATCCTGTTCAGAGGCTTTAGTTCATAGTGACTATTGTTATGTAGCTACAGTACTACTCTGAGAGATCACCTGGGCAGGTATTCTGATGGCAGTGTGTCACATGCAAGTGATAAGGATGTCGTTGAGCTAAATATAAAGCTTGCTCAAGCGTACCTACAATGAGGGTAGTAGAATTGAATTTCTGAATGGTGCAGGGGCTTGAAGGGGGTCCTGTCAACATTTTTTTTTGTCATTATCGATTTGAAGCATCTTTCAATAGAGTTATTTTCAGAATTTAGATACTCGTTTTTACTATATTCTTCTTTAAAGATGATATCACTAGTGTGATCTACTGCATTCACTTTTCACATACATACTTGTTTCCTTACCTGAATACATATCCCTGTCTCTGTCCAGTGTTGTAAATTGCTTTCCGTTGTGCCATATCATGGAATCGCCTGCGTTTCCTTGGTATGTTCCTAAGCGTAGCCTGTAGAATTCACTTTCAGGCTCCAGACGGAAACTGCTGTACTCTGCATAGACTTTCTTATTGCTCCAGTCCTCTAACTCAATCAATAGTCTGTAATTGTCCTGATTGGTAAGCATGTAAATATTTTCTAGTCCCAGCCAGTACTCTCCATCAATATTTCCAAATCCTTTCTGTACAAAAGTAGATCAGAAAGTGATGTTAGTTTTTCTTATTTGTCAAAACGCTCAGCAGCAGCAGTATTATAAACCAGTGGAACTTGACTACTGAAAGCCTTTAAGCTTGTGAACGACTGCTCAACCCATGCATTTAAATGCTTTATTTTGCTGCACCTGACTCTTTACTCAGTTGTACTGCATGTGGCTAGCATTCCTAACAGATTCTACTGTAAAGGTGTCAAAACTATCTGTTTTCTGTGATGTCTTTTTTAAGGTAAAGGAAGAGAGAATAGAGAAACTGAAACAGTATATTTCTTGACAAAGCTAAGGGAATCTGTAAATGTCTGAATAATGTGTTCTAAGGGGGTATATTTTCAGGTTGGAAAAGGTATTTATGGATCAACAGGCTCTGTTCAAGCTGAATAACTTTTTGTTGCCTTTTTAATGCAACTAGTGGTGTTTTTACTGTAAATTTAATTGTGTAATTAATCCGTGCTCCTTACTAGATTTATTAGAAATGAAATATAAAGACATTTTTCCTTTCAAATCAGACTACCAGTAAGGTAGCTGTGAAGTGGTATTTCGTAACTGCTGTCTCCTATCCCTGAGTAAACCAGTCTTGCTAACATTTGGTGCTGCAGCTCAGGTAGGTACGTCGCCCACCGTACCTATCTGTTATGCTTCCTAGTTTCTGCAGTCTTTCTACCTTTTTTCTCAGGCCGTTGAATATGTAGGACCTACAGTTGATTTCATGCTTCAGATCACTTTCTGGGGAAATCTCTCTGATGGATAAACAGTCTAGGCTCCTAACTGAAGCTGCAGTTTCACAAGTGGCTTAAGTTGATCCAATGTCATGCTGCTGCCAAAAATGGCAGCGGTGCTTTTCTCCTGGCTTACGGCCACATTTGCAATACTTCCCCTGCATCGGCATCATAGCTGTGCAGCCACACAGAGGTCAGGAAAGTAGCAGCCATGTGTGCATGGGAGACATCTCTGTTGTTAGTGGTTCAGCTTTAGTTTAAAGCCAGTCACAGGGGTGCACCTTCAAGTATTTGAAGTTAGGTAATAAGAGTAGCATCTTCAGCCACTGCAATTTAATGAGAAATCTCTTGGGAGCAAGTTTGCCCAAGCTTGAGGCATTATTAGGCACCAGTTATATACTCTTCTATGTTTTCTTTGCACTGTGTTCAAAATGTTTATGGTTACTTCAAAAGGCACTCTGTAACTGCCTTATAACATTAAATAAATAAATATAATTTAAAAAAATACCCCTGACCGAAAACCAACCACCTGCTTTTCTGAGAAGTAAAGGCTTTGAATAACTGCTACTAAGGAATTATTACTATTTGGGTCGTTAAATTCCAAGAATGCAAAGAGTGAAAATCCTCATAGTAATGTTTTGTAATTTCCTTTGTATATATGATAATCGTGGCTCAGTTCTCTCTTCAGCTACAATACGTGTGGCATTGTACATCCATTTAAAGTGAGCACAGCGTCATAGGGAAAAAGTCCCTTATATGTATGAAGTCAGCACATTATTATTGAAAAAATGCAACCAAGTGGATTTTCATATTTCTTATCTAGCATGTAATTACTCCAAAGCAGCATGCATTTGTCATCCAAGACGTTATGCCTGCTAGTGGATAGTATCACAGTAACACACAAGAATGTGTTTCCCTTCACCAGCGCTACATCTTCAGGTTTCTAACCTAATTTTAAAGGTAGAAATTATTTCCTCTAATTCATTATTAGGAATGTTCTTAAGTTGAGGCCTTGATCCTGCAAATCTATTAATGTGCTTAAATGAATAATTCCACTGGCTGAGATTGCTTATTCATAAGGGAGACGATTAAGCTTTTCAAGTACTTACTGTAGTTCTCAGTGTTAATAAAAATCATGTGTTTAGTTAGGTCTTTGTAATGAATTGCTTCCCAGTCACTGTCTAGAATAACATGTGTCTCCCCAGTTGTGTTTTGCGTTACAAATGCAGGCTATTTCAGACAATAACTTAGTTCATCCAAAGTTAAGTAGTGCATTGAGTGAAATAGGATGTTCCCACTGAAATATGTTTGCCTCTGAGGGATGACCATTCTTTTCAATTATCTTTGTTCATAAAATTAATTTCACTGTCTAACTTAAGCAGCTATCTATTTCCAGCTCCTCAGTGTTTATCATTCAATTGAACTGTTTGCAGTGATGAGTTGCACTGGAAATGTTCACACAGTCTTGATTGCGATAATGTCACGGCTGCACTGAAGTGAAGCAGCTGATTCTCTGCATTCCAGAATTTACCTTATAACTGTCCCAGTTCCTGAAAAAGTTGACAGATCCATCTGTCCTCTTCTGAATAACTGCCCATCCTCCAGGGTCCAGGCTATTCTCGCACCATAGCTGCATTGGCTCATTACTGTTTTCAGGTTTGATCATATAAATCCCACTGTTGGAATGCCCAGCTTCCTTGGCTTGTTGGCAGTCTTTGAATGGACCTTTTTGAAAAGAAATACTGTAAGCATTCAAGCTTGGCTATGCAGTGCACATTGTTCAAGAATATTTTGTAAGGGTAATGGAAAGTCAGTAATTCAATTAAGGTAAAATTACCATGGAAAACAGTGTAAAAAGTTACTGTCTTAGATTAATTGTGTACATATAAATAAACATGTCAGTGTCACATATTTAAACAAAAACTTCATTTTGCTAAACAGACAATGGACCTTGGTTACCAACACCCAGTTTTTAACTTTGTCTACTGTGCCTGTTACAAATACTGCTTACAGAAGAGCATCTGGTTATTCTGTAAGAAGCAAGCAGCTTATGTATCTCTGAAAACTTTGCCTAGTTTGCCTTTCAATTTTTGGTAATGTTTTTATTTTCTACTTTTTAGAAAAGGATCTATGTTCATGTATCATTACTTCAGTTGATATAGAGAGACTGGTTGTTTACTGATGAGAAGCACGATACATTCTGATGGCTAGTTAGTGGTGGATGTCCTAAATGTATTTGAAAACTCGTACTCAGTAAATCTGAAAATAAATTACCTACAGCTTTTCTCTCACTTTAGAAGGCTCATTTTCTCAAATCTACTTGGAAGTTCAGAGAAAACTCATAATTCACGGAAGCAGCTAATGTGCAAAGAAGCATAGAAGACAGTTGTTGAGGTTTTTCTTTAATCAAAAGTAGAGTGAAAATGACCTTCATTGCGGACTAAGGTTGCATGGCAAAAACAAGTTGAAAGTTGTGGGGTTTTTAGTTTTTAAAGTAGTAGTTGGATAAGTATGTAATTAGCAGGAAATTCGTAAAGTAGTTCATATTAATTAGAATGCAAAAAGTTTCTATATCTAACGAAGGTGACTACTTGGAGCTTCTGGCTGTGACAGTGCTACCAAGAATGCTGCAGCCATTGCGCCATCACTGTAAGTACTGCTGCATGCTGTACTGTCGGTACGTGACAATGTTTTTGTCATTCTTGCAGTGCATGCAGTAGTAGCTTAGGGAAGAAATACTGTAGCTTTAGTATATGAATGCTTTTTCTCTTGTTCACAATTAAAATTTCCATGTAGATTTTGCACACTGTCCAGTGGATAGAAAATTTCCTGGGCTAAGTTGGGTCTCATTCCATTTCATTGAACTGTCTAAAGTAAATTTGGGCAGTGTATGACTGAACAGAGATGTTGTTCTCTAAGTATTTATTGTGAAGCAATTACTGCATTAGAAAAAGTACAAACAGACAAGTTGTGTTTTTTGTTGTGTTCGTTGGATATTAAGAACAGCTCGGTTAGATCTGCTGTATATTATTTCATGGGATTTCTACTGGAGGAAGAATTGAGGACTCATTTTTCCGTGAGACACCTAAGCAGATGTATGGAGTGATTTTTTTTTTAAGTAGCTTTTAAGGCAGACAGAATTGTACTAGTCTATGTAATACACTTTGAACGCTTCTGAAATTCAGATGTCATTAAGGTCACAGGATGCCACTTGTCTGCTTTGTGATGCTCAGGTTTGTCTATGGGCTTATCATAAGTTAGTGCAGTAGAGGTAACAGACTTCTGCTCTTAGTGTAAGGAAATCCAAAACCCCATAACTTTTGGTGTATAGCCTTGAATCTTTTTTGAGAAGTAAATTCTGTGTTGTATGTAATTATTTTAAGTTCACAGTATAAAAACTGCTGCATTTCTCATTCAGTGGAAGTGCTGAGAATTGTGAAACAGTGTAAGATTCTCCACAGTGCTGGTGTGAGTGGAGGCTCTGGCTAATGAAACAAGCATAATTATTCTGTTTAAAATCATGTTATCTGTGTAAGGAATAAGTATCTCATGCATATCTATTCTTTGGTAATAGTGTGTGTACACTGGGTTGCTGAGGCAATTAGTTACAAGTTAGAAATACTCTGAGAAGATGATCTGTTAAATATTTCATTTCTAAAATTGTGTTTTAGATGCAAGTGGTAAAGTCACCGTCCCTGGAGGTATTCAGAAAACGTGTAGATGTGGCACTTTGGGGCATGGTGGTGTTGGGTCAAGGGTTGGACTTGATGATCGATCTCAGAGGTCTATTCCAACCTTATGATTCTATGATTTAGTACAGATCATACCTTATTGTAAATTAGATGTAGTAGAGAAGGAAAGTGATGAAACAACCAAGTCTTTGACAGACCTGTTTCTAAATGGGGCTGTTTCATTTTTCACTGATCTTTTTTGACATCTTTATATGTTATAGTCATCATCTTTTAACTGGAAGGGTAATTTTTTCTATAACAGACAATTTTGGTTCTATGCAACATTAAATATGCTTAAGTTTAATTTAAAAAATCAGAGATAACTGGACATTGTGTTGCAATTTAGAAGTTTTGGTTTTGAGGATTGATGATTTTTTGATTTCAAGGCACTGCAAGGAGCACTTGAACTTCAAACGCAAGAACCTAGTCTTAAATAAAGGAAGTTGAATAATCTTAAAATAAATTTCCTGAGATTTCTTGGTGTTCCCTTATGAAAGTGGATTCAAACTCTGAACTTTTAGGCCTAAAGGGGTTAGTGAAAACCATGGTAGATTACTTAGAGGAAAATATTTAGTGCTGTTGCTTCATTTTTTTATGTACAGCAGGCGTATATTGAGAGAGAAGAAGATGCATTTCTAACAAAACCTTGAAGCATGGGTTTTCTGGGAAACAGGAAGTCAACGGTTTTTAGAGTTATACTTTTACTGTCTGACCAGACATTAATGTAATGTTTTTATATTAGATGTTTCCTTTGTGTCACGATGTGCAGTTTAAATTCTCATGACAACTGGCATTTTACTTGGGCTTGTGCCTGAATTTTCTGCAGACCCCAAATAAAAATAGTTGTACTTTACATCAGCAGCTAGTTGTTTGTAATTCTGTAGAACAGTCAGAAATAAATGTTTGTCTTCATCTTAGTAACCAAGTTGAACTTCCAGCTGTGACTAAAGGCAATTTGAAAGCAAAAATACCAAGCAACCACCCAAACACAAAAAACACCCCAACAGGCAAACCCTTTCGCTGTGCAAGCTAACAGAAGCCAAGAGCAAGCACTTGAATGGATGTCCGAGAAAAACTTGCTTTTCTGAATCCTTAATTTTTTTTTTATTGCAATTCTGTCAAAATTTTAATAAAGTGAGAATCATCAAAGAGAAAATCATCAAAGAATTCAGGGCAGCTCAGAGGTAGTTAATTTTCTCGTCACTAATTTTGTTTCTAGTGATAAATAAATTTAACTAGTGACCTGAATAATGTAACACATGAAGATGTGATAGTCTCCTGAATGTATTTTCATAATATTCATGGTGTTAGTTTAACTTGCCGTCCCCTACTGACATCAAATTACTGTGAATGTAGTTACTCATTTTAAATTTTCAAAGCTGAGTGCATCTAATTGGATCCAGCCTTGATTCCGTTATCCTTTCAAACTTACTTATGCTCTTGAGTATTTCAACCGAACACTTAAAGTCTTATTGCATGACTGTATTGGTGGATTTAGATGTTCATTTTAAAGCAGCTCAGAATAGAAGGAGTAAAATTCTTCTAGCAGGATTAACTTCTGGCAAATGTATATTTGTAACTATTTAAAATTACTTCATTTATTTAAGATGAATTAGCTTCTCTTTTATTCACCATTGCCAGTTACTGTACCATGTAGCTAATAGGCACCTTCAAAGAAAAAGGGCTAAATACTGGAAAGTATATGCTAATATTGAATTTTCATTGCCATAAACACAGCTGGAGACAGAAACCCCAATACTTTCTGACTCAAAGGCACAAATTCTTCAGATTGAATTTCTGAGTATCAGCTATTTCAACACTTTCATCTTCTGCAGCTATAGCTTAAGAATTAGACTGGCAAACTAAAGCTTTCCGGGCTGGGTGGGGGGAATGTGGAGAAAATCGGGAGCAAGGGCTAGCTGTTTTAGATACTTTAAATTCTTCATTTTATTTCTGTAGCCAGGACAGTTTCCCTCTGAAATGGAGAAATCTCAGGTTAGATAAACAGTGATAGGTAACTCACCCTCATTAATTAAAGCCAGTGGTGGTACTCTGAAAGGACTCTTTGTAGGAGAAGTAGCTGGATCAGGTGGTGGCCTTACATCTCTGTCTCTAGGGTAACCTGGGTCTCGCTGTATCTCGTTACCTCCCAGAAGGACAGGAGTATATGGCTGGCTGTTAGGAATGTGCTGTGGCACGACTTGAACAAGAGGTGGAGACCCATGGGTGTCCTGTCGCGAGAAGATTCTCAAGCACTGCTCTTCCAGCAGTGAGATAGTCACAGACTGATTATTTACAAGATCAGTTAGTGCTGCATATTTTACTTCAAGCTCCTTGTATTTTGTTGCCATCTTCAACATTTCTGTGGTAACATTAAGGACTTTGTTTTCCAGTTGAGAAAGCTCAAGTGAGTTATCACGCTTTCGAATTATCTCATGCAAGAGTTGCATATAGAGTTGGGTGACCCGAGAGTTCATGTTACGACTTTCTTTCCTCAGTAATTTTACTTCATTCACAATGTTTCCATCCACATCCACTACCAATTGCAAAATGTCAATCTCCCGCTTTTGCTTGGACAGCACATCCTTCAAGTTTTCTATGTCCATTCTTGTGACTTCATCTTTTCTGTTACCAGTACCTGGTCCATTAGTATTCACGCAAATTGGCCCTGTGATTTTTTGTTCTGGGACCAAGAATGTGTAACCACATTTCTTCCCTTCCCCTCCACCATCTGCTGAACGAGGGTGCCTCCGTTGGGATGTTTTATTAGGCGTTGATTGTTCTGTACAGCGCCCAATAGACAACAGCAGGAACAACAGTACACCCAAAGTCCATTTAAATATCTTCATTTTAAAGCAAGTATGACGACTGTCAGAAGAGGCCATTGAACAGATAAAAGATAAAAATCATTAGAGTCGTAACTAAGGCTCCTGTACTGCTTAAACTGCCTAAAGTGATGGGTTTGCCGTGCTTATATGTATGTAAACAAGCCTTTGGAATCTGTTACTTGGAGTTAGTTTCCATTAGATTAGCTTCAAAGAATAGCTTTCTATTTTGAGCAGCAAACACTAAAATTTACATAGTAGAGAAGGTGTTGCAATGTATACACTTTCAGAAACAGTGTTCTGCTTAGATTATGTATTATGCTTTCACTATAAATTTGTTTAGATCTGTACTCACTGCAATTAAATGCACAAGATTATAGAACATACAGATTGCTTGCAGAATATCGTCATGGAAGGAAAGTAGCAGACAGTGATAGCATTTTCAAAAATATTTATATAAATTTTGAAATTTGGATTACATAAGCCTTCCTGGTCCTCTTTTAGCTTTACACATGTATATATAGATGTATAATTTGTTAAATAGTATGTACATTCATATACATATACACATTTTTCAAATTTATGTATACACAGGTATAGTAGACTTGAAAAATACACATGTATCTAACACTATTTTACAACACTAGTGTTAGGCAGGAGATTAGCATAAGATAGGTGTCTCAAACATTGAAAATTACATATTCAAGTAAGTTTAAATTTGTAAGGGAAGCCTATAACATTGTTTGCTCTGCGTGTGTGTTGTGACTTAGTTGCCTTTTGAGATGAACATTTAAAATTGTATCACACTATTTTTGAATCTTTGAGAACATTTTTATCCAAGTAACACTGAAGTATCAGGTGTATTATCAGTATAAATACCATACTGAAGCGTTTCATTCACCTTTTAAAGAAAATAACGGATTTCTTTTAACTTTGTGTAAAGAATTAAAATACAGTGACAAAGATCCAAAATGTTTTTAGAGAGACTTGTTTTTTAACTATTTTTTAAATATTTGAGATGATGAACAAAAGTGGCACTTAAACCAGGGGAAAAAAAAACAACCTGATTTTTCATGTTTTATTTGCTTTGTCAAGCAAATCACTCTTCCAATCTCAGCTGTTGATCTGGCTTTCCTTTCCAGACTACTATTAGCAGTTGTACAAGGCCTTGTATAGTGACCTTTGTATAGTCACAAAGAGAAATAAAATAAAACCAGAGAAGGTTAATTCTCATGCTGTTGCTGCCAAGTTCAAGTTTAAGTGCATTTGGCAATTCTGAAACAGTCACCCTGAGGGAGAATCAGACCTGTGCTGCTTCCTTTACATTCACATTCACAAATGGTGACTTCTGTGTCAGGTCACTTCTCCAAGTTCTGTTACTGGCTTTAATATTATTGCTACAAATTATGTCTGTTCAACCTCAGAGTAAAGGTATCAAGTCTTTATTTTTTGGCTTCACTGAAAGCAGTGGTTACAAACTTCAAACCATGCTGCACGTGCAGTCAGGAATCTTGATCAAATGTTCCACTGTTGCCTAAGAAATAAGTTTTTGGTTGGCTGACAGTTAAAATGCAAGTCCTGCTTCTGGGAGGGGAAGAAGACACTTGCTTTAATACTGAAAATAATTTCTTACCCTACATAAGTGGAAGGAATACATAAAAGTTTGAGAAAGTTAGTTATACAACATACCAACAGTAAAACATACAGAAATAAGTTTTTAAATATAAACTATTTTGGTGTCTCTTAGTAAATATTTTTTCAAAACCAGAACTTGATTAAATGTTTTGTTAATATTTCTCTGCTGAAAGTGTAACTTCTGGTTAAAAAAAAAAAAAGGGAAGGAAAAAATATCGCTTTTCTCCAGAGCTAATTGTGTATTTTTCTTTGGTAGTTTCAGACATTTAAAATATTAATCACTTGAACAGTGCTAAGAGTTGGAAGTTCATTAGGTTAAATTTTCACATGAATCATGGTAAACACATGGGAAACAGATCTCTGTGTGGTTTCTAACTTGACAAGGATGAGCCGAACTAATTGCCTGAAGTCTGAAACCTCTCCACATCTCCTGAATTACTTTTCAATACTTTTATGTTCAGTGTTTGCAGATGCAGGGAAAGTGTCTTCATAGTATATGGTTAAGGATGAATCCATAGTACAAGTCCAGTATTTTACTATTTTCACAGTATATAATAGCTACTTCATAGTCCAAAAGGTGAATAACACTTTAGTTCTTGGTAGTTTTTAAAGACCCTATAGAGGTATTTAAATAATGAATGGCTGGGAGTTTTCCCCACAGCAGCACATTTTTCCCCTGAAATACATTAAAACTTAAATGAATCTTTCAAAACCAACATTTTGCAATGCAGCCCACTTTCTGACCATGTATTCTGCTGCAGTCTGCTTTATGCATTTCGTTTAATATTATATGTATTCATTTTGAACTTTTACACTTACCTGTTAAAGTTAGTTTTGTGTCTATATATGTGCTGTCAGACCATAAAGTTAAATGGTCTAATATAGCATAACCAAATGCAACAGCTGCATAAAATTATGCCCTAGAAATTTGAAATAATTCAAATGTCTTGTATCAAACTGAGACATTCAGATAAGCAGGGGTGAGTTCCTTCTGAGAATCTACTTGGTAGGGAACAAATATGCTCCCATGGAAATTTTGATGCTGAAAAAATTAAATGTTTTACGATGTTGCTTTACATGTTTGAGCAGCTTAATGCCTAACTTGTTGTACAAGAATAGGTTCTGAGTAAGATATTTACCTGGAGTTTTAATCAGCTTAGTAGGAAATGAAAATACTGTTTCAGAAACTTCCTGATATTCTGGGCAAGAAGCTTAAAAAAATATCAGCTGTTTATCCAAAATAACACAGAATGATAGCCTAATATGTGAGACCTAAAAATGACAAATATTAGAATTGGGAAATAGTATTAGGGTTTTTCTTAAATCAGAAACATTGTCACAGATTGCCAGGTTTAGATGTTAGGTAGTGTCCTAACTGTTATGAGGTAAAGCAGTTGAAGCTCAGGGATCAGTTTAGACGGAACCAATGTCTCAAACTCTTCCTACAAATCTAGTGTTGCTTGTAGTGAGTGGGGCTGCTGAAATACCAGAATGCAGACCTTGGAAAACGAGCAAGAGAGATTCTGATTACAGACACTATTGCTTTAAAATATGTTATTTAACTCTTTATGAACTGTCACATTTTTTAAAAATTAGAATAGACTGTCACTTCATTTCGTTCTGTTGTGTTTCTGTGTCACCCAGTTTTGGGTCTCATATTTCTGTAGAACTTGCATTACGTATGTTCTGGCATGCTGATGTTTTATTGCTTCTGCAAGAGAAAATGTGTAGCTATTCATAGCAACGCAAACTTCATCATCATCTTGTCAGAAATACTCAGAGCTGTGGATAGGGCTTCAACACCATTTTACGTTTTAATGTCATTCCTTCTGTTTTCTTTCTTTTTCCAGAGGACCCCCATGCAAAAACTCCCCTTGTTTCCAGACTGATCCCCATGCAAAAAAAATTGTTTCCAAAATTATTCTTTGTTATATTACTTTTTAAAGTGTTTAAAGGAATAAAATTCCAATTTAAAAGAACAAAATAAACCAGTAACTTCTATTTTTAACTTTCACTGATACAATCCTGTAACATGGGCTGTGTTACCCCCAAAAAATTGTTATCACTTACAAATGTTAGAGTTGCAGGGATGAGGAAGTGTGGAAGCTACTATATATTTGGCATTTTTTAGCTTTCTGTACAACAAACTGTTTTTTGCTGTACTGCTGTGACTGTCATGTTCAGTAGGATGTAGAACTTGGAGACCTCCAACACAAGCTAGAATCTGTTCTTTCACAGCTGACAAAGACTGCTTCTCCCTGGGCAGTGTAGGTAGTTGTACGTAAATGTGAATATAGGATTGCTTTTGAATGGAAAATGCAATATCAGTACATATCTTTATTAAAAGAATGTGGTCAAATGATAACTAGCAATAGTGCTCTCTTATAAACCTCCATTTAAGAATGTGTAAAACTGGAAGAGAGACAGGGGTTTTTTTGAAAAAGTAAATGATAATACTGAGAATAAAGATCCTCTGAACATGATACCAGTTAATCTGAAAGCTCTGTTATTGATGTTACGTGTACTTTATTTTCTGCTAAGCTTTGTTGAAGCAGCTAAAAATCAATAAAACCATCTGTGTTCCCCTATCTCTACACAGAATAAGTGGAGGTTTTTGTTGATTTTTGTTTGTTTGTTTAAAACGGGGTCCATAACATTAGAAGTAATACTGATGTGAGGAAACCACTCTTACTATAGGAGAAATGTTTGATATACCTCTGTAGTTCAGTAAGTTACTTTCCCTGCTGAAAAGACAGGATTTCTTTCAATTGTATTGACTAGGATCCAGGAATAATACATTCTTGGTTTTGTTAGTTGGATACATGATATAAATGGTGCATAAATTTTAAGGACCAGACTAATAGGACACATTATAAAAAACAGACTAAACCCAGTAAAACAGTAATTAAGACCTGATAAAGCCATGTAGTTACTGGCAAAAGTTTAAGGGTTCACAATTTCTGTTCTTCAAAGTAAATTCCTGTAAAACTTTAAATGGCATATTTTTCCATCATACTTCAGATCATTCTTGTGGCAACAGCATATTAGTATTCAGTTATTTGTTTTAAAATAAGCATTTTGAAATTTGAACTCTAAAGTTGAAAGACAGCAAAGGAGAGAGTTAAAACCTTGCACATAGCCAGTTTACTGCTTTAAAATTATTGACTCAGCTGTTTTCGTTTGTGAAAGATTTAGGAATTGTTCTAAGCAGTGTAAATCAAAACCTTGGCTAATCATGAATGAACGGAGACTGGTGTCCAAGGCACACAATGTAGGCTTCAAATGGAGTTTTTTGTTGTTGTTTAGGTTGTTCTCTTTAATATGTAAAGAAGCATGAAAGGATAGTAAGAAAAAGGGCTCAAGAACTTGGAAAGGTTCCATCTTTCTTGTTTGTCAAGACTGCTTCAGAC